GAATGAGAGGGTAGCCAACCTCCACCTACGAGTGGGGGGACGGGTTCTGACTGTTGTTTGTGCCTATGAGCCTAACAGCAGTTCAGACTATCCACCCTTTCTGGAGTCCTTGGAGGGGGTGATGGAGAGCGCTCCTAACGGGGACTCCCTTGTTCTGCTGCGGGACTTCAACACTCACATGGGTAATGACAGTGAGACCTGGAGAGGCGTGGTTGGGAGGAACGCCCCCCGACCTAAACCTGAGTGGTGTTTTGTTATTGGACTCCTGTGCTCATCATGTATTGTCCATAACAAACACCATGTTCAAACATAAGGGTGTCCATATGTGCTCTTGGCACCAGGACACCCTAGGCNTTCTCCCCACTGTATCAGGTCTGAATACGACCTGAAGCGTAGAGGGGAACAGGCTTTAACTGTGGTGGTCCTCAGACTCTGGAACAACTTCAGATCCGTGCTGCAGAGTCTGTTCAGTKTTTTAAATCTGACTTAAAAACTCACTTTTTTACACGTGCTTTAAATTCAAGTTCAGTTTGAACTACCTCAGGAATTTGTAATTTGTGTCTTTTATTTGTTTTTAGTTTATTGTATGTTTTACTGTATTGTGTCTGTGAAGCACTGTGGTCAACACTGTTGTTTTTAAATGTGCTATAGTAAAATAAAGTCATGATGATGATGAAGGTGTGTGTGTTTGTACCTCCAGTGGATCAGTGTGTGGATCAGGTGTGTGTATCCCTGAGCAGCAGCCAGGTGCAGTAGAGTCATCCCACGGTGTCGAGACGAGTGATGAAGCCTCTCTCCTCCTCCTCCTCCTCCCCATCGTGCTCCTCTCATCATTCTCTCACAAACTGCCACAATCCTCCTCTCAAACCACTGAGAGGACTGACACACACACACACACACACAGACACAGACACACACACAGTCAGGACCAGCCTGTCTCATGTATCTGAGGTAAACAGATCAAACTGAAGGGTAAACCTAAAAGACTAAAGTCACACCAGTGTTCCTGCTGTGGCCTCTGGTTCTGTCAGAGGACCTTCAGTGTCTCTGTAGAACCTGATTRATGTCTGACAGTCTTTGTCCTGCTGATGTCTCTYAAACAGGTTGGATCCACCTCTCTGYCTGCAGTCAGCCCTCCAACACAGGTGAACACAACTTCACACAACACCTGTTCCAGCTGTCTCAGACACTTCACCTGCCTTGCCTACAAATGGTGGTCAGAGGGTCCAGTGCATGGCAGCCCCACCTCTGTCAGTGTGCCCCAGGACAGCTGTGGCTACAGTGTAGCTTACCATCATCAGTGAGTGAATGATTGAAGTGTAAAGTACTCTGGGGTCCACGAGGACTTGATAAGTTCAGTCCATTTACCATAACTCTATTCCAAAAAGGGGACATTTGACTGACAAGCAAATCACACAAAGACCCCCATGATGACTCTAATGTTCCATAGCCCAGACGTGGGTCACCAGGGCCCCACTCTGGAGCCAGGCCTGGAGGTGGGGCAGGTTGGTGAGCGCCTGGTGGCCGGGC